CCCCAGGCGTCGGCCCCGGCTGCACGGACAAAACGCTGCTGTCGGCCATCGCCAGCGCGCTGCACACCAGCGCCGCGCCCATCACCGGCCAGCTGTCGGCCGCCGTGGAGAAGAACCCGGGGGTCTGGCTCAACACGGCCCAGCCGCTCTGCAAGGCCTTCATCGTCACCGACGAGGACATCAGGTGGGCTAAAGGGGAAACATTAGCAGGCCGAGGGCCTAGGGTGGTCACCATACTAAAGTGTTCACCTCGATACCGATACTCAGGAAAATATTCTATACTCGATACCACAAGGATAAAAACAAAACCCCCAAAATTTAACAGAATTTTGACAGGTTAGTGTCTTTGGTTTCAAACTGACCTGTTACTGATGTTATGTTGGTCCACATTAATGACCCTAACCCTAACCCTAGCCCTTCATGATTGTGAGAAACAGATATTTTTTGGTTAAACTTGTTTGGACTTATTGTACAAACCTATTTAACATCCACTATGTTCACATAATATTATGTATAGAGTTTAATTCAGTGTTTGCAAGATTCATTTCACTATTTTTAAATTAATGTCTATATTGCCATGAAGCAATTAGGATTTTCTTGCCTGGGATCTTCCTATTGGTGACCTAATCAAAATGGCCGACTTGGATGTGGGTCGAGTTGGATATCCATCCTTGGCTTCCTGCAGACAGACTTGAATAAGGTTGGCATGTTTTTATTTGCCATTAGCCGGGGGGGGGGGGGCACATGAAGAAATTTATGGCACACGCCTTGTGCACCACAGATAAGGAAAAACGGTTAAAAGGACCACAGATGAACTTCCTGTTTGGGCCTTTGGTCGGGTTGAGTTTTAGAGCTGAATTTCCCAACACGGTTTCCTGAGAAACGGCCGAATTATAAATCTCCCCTCAGTTAAACAGGAAACAACAGCTCAGGGAGCAACGGCCAGCGGGAAATGTTGGATTTCACATTTCTACTTTAATCTTTACGAGGGGCTGAGGTTAATGTGGTTAACAAGGATGATTGGACAGGAGATTCCTTAAAAAATTCCACCACAAGTCACCGTCTCTGCCTGAAGGAAAGGAGAAAAACCTGGTTCTGCTCCAGTTTGAGCTGTAACCGCCAACTGTAACGGCTTCCTGTTGCGTGTCTGAGCAGGAAGCGGGAGGAGCTCCCGAGAAACAACCCAATCATAAATCTCCCCTCAGTTAAACAGGAAACAGCTCAGGCCGGTGTGACACGTTGGATTATGGATTATGGGGTTTTTGTTAAAAAAAAAAAGAGAACAAATTTAAAGTTCAAACTTTAAAAAAACTCAAAATATTTCACAGAGGCCGAGAAAAATTAGACAATATTCCTCCATTTGATTGAAACTCTGGTCTAATGAATAAAAATAAGGTAAAAAGTCAAATAAAATGAGGAAGTAGAGGGTGGAGGAATAATCAATACATCGATATTCTTCTTTTGAGGTTTTGAGGCTCCCCGGTTTGTCTGTCCCGGTTCACGAGGCAGGGCTCGTGTTGTGAAGTCTTTAAATTGCATCTTTACGAGGGGCTGAAAGCTGCCTTAACCCTATAATGCCAAATGTATCATATCTAATTTATACGGTTTCTGAAGTCTTTTGGATCTGAGACTTTTTGCATCATTCAGTGGTAAAGGCTTTGCTCAAACCCCTGTTGTACACATTCAGATATACCTGATAACAGCCAGTAGAAGACTACACCAAAATACATTTTTGACTTATTGTACGCTAATTTGATCAAAATAATGTCTGTTTTTTTTTCTTCATATTGGCCAAAGAAAGACTTCAAACTAAAAAAATCTAATATTCTTCCTATTTTTCTTGGATCGGGCTTTAAAGGGTTAAAAGTAATGTGGTTAACGGGAATGATTGGACTGGGAATTCCTTTAAAAAATCCACAAAAAGTCACGGTCTCTGCCTGAAGGGAAAGGAGAAACCCTGGCTCTGTGCTCCGGTTTGAGCAGTAATGGCCGACGGTAACGGTTTCCTGTCTGTGCCTGAGCAGGAAGCAGGAG